ATTGTACCTTTCAATGGATTATTTTATTTTTTATTTATTTTTTATTATTTTTTTAAATTAAATCTTTATTGTTCAGATTATTACATTTGTTCCTCTTTTTTCCCCCCATAACTCCCCTCCTCCCAGTTCCCGCCCCACTCTCCGCCCTCACTCCCCACCCACTGTCCTCATCATAGGTGCACGATTTTTGTCCAGTCTCTTCCCGCATCTCCCACACCCCTTTCCCCCCCAAGAATAGTCAGTCCATTCCCTTTCTATGTCCCTGATTCTATTATAATCACCAGTTCATTCTGTTCATCAGATTATTTATTCACTTGATTCTTAGATTCACTTGTTGATAGATGCATATTTGTTGTTCATAATTTGTATCTTTACCTTTTTCTTCCTCTTCCTCTTCTTAAAGGATACCTTTCAGCATTTCATATAATGCTGGTTTGGTGGTGATGAACTCCTTTAGCTTTTCCTTATCTGTGAAGCTCTTTATCTGACCTTCAATTCTGAATGATAGCTTTGCTGGATAAAGTAATCTTGGTTGTAGGTTCTTGGCATTCATCACTTTGAATATTTCTTGTCACTCCCTTCTGGCCTGCAAAGTTTCTGTTGAGAAATCAGCTGACAGTCGTATGGGTATTCCCTTGTAGGTAACTGAGTTTCTTTCTCTTGCTGCTTTTAAGATTCTCTCTTTGTCTTTTGCTCTTGGCATTTTAATTATGATGTGTCTTGGTGTGGTCCTCTTTGGATTCCTTTTGTTTGGGGTTCTCTGCGCTTCCTGGACCTGTAAGTCTATTTCTTTCACCAGGTAGGGGAAGTTTTCTGTCATTATTTCTTCAAATAGGTTTTCAATATCTTGCTCTCTCTCATTTTCTGGCACCCCTATAATTCTGATGTTGGTATGCTTGAAGCTGTCCCAGAGGCTCCTTACACTATCTTCGTATTTTCGGATTCTTTTTTCATTTTGCTTTTCCGGTTGGGTGTTTTTTGCTTCTTCACATTTCAATTCTTTGACTTGATTCTTGCACTCCTCTGGTCTGCTGTTGGGTGTTTGTATAATATTCTTTATTTCAGTCAGTGTATGCTTAATTTCTAGTTGGTTCTTTATCACAACATCGAGGGTCTCATTAGATTTCTTGAGGATCTCACTACAGTTATCGGCAGTTTTTAGAAAATTATTGAAAGACCTTAAAAGTGTGGTTTTGAGCTCTATATCTTCCATTTCTGACATCTGCGTCCTGTTTCTTTGTCTCCGCATTTTTTATGCTTTCTTGGTGCAACCCCTAGTGGTCTTTATGCGAAGTCTTGTTGTAGTTAAGCCTAAATTGTTGTAAGTAATACTGGCAGGGATTTGACCTCCAGGCCAACTGGCTGTGAGAATCAGCTGTGTCTGCAGTGAGAGAACTTCTGTCCTCTAGGGAGGTGCTAATCTAGCCTTTGCCTGAGGCTATCCAGCAAATGCCTCTGTGCAGGGCTTGGGCGGGGCGGGTCTCACGGGATCAACAGGGTGGGCCAGAGCGAGCAGTTTTGGCTGCTCTCAGTTCCGTCCCCAGGGGCTCTGCCTCTCTGAGTCCCAGCACCCGCTACAAACCTCGGAGAGAAAGCTGCCTTCGAGTTCCGACTGAAGCCAGACAGTCCCGCTTCTCTCGTTTGAGTCTGGGTCCCTAAAGACTCGCCCGGATCTGGAGCTCAGAGTCTGTGACTCCCTCCCGATTGAAAACGCCAACCGCACCCTCCGCCGCCAGCCCGCTCTGCATGCACTCCGCACCTCAGAATTTGACTTCAGCACTGCGCCTCCTCTGAGTCTCGGTATGCGTTTCTCTTTCCTCCTAGTTGTAGGACTTCCACTCAGCCAGCCTTCCTGTGGTTCTGGGTGATGTCCGTTCCGTCTTTTAGTTGTATTTTTGAAGTGGTTGTTTGAGGCAGCAAACTCCGGCATTAACCTATGCCACCATCTTGGTTCTCCTCCTCATTATTTCTTGGGAGGAAAGATCAAGGGGTCTGAACAGCATAGCCAGAGGTATGAAAGGTCAGGGGGTCCACACCCCATGATGAGTGATATGCTAGGGGAAAAAAGATTACCCTGGGAGTAAGGTCCTTGTTTTTCAAGCTTTGCCCATTGCTAGGCTACCCTGGTGACCTTCTGTACCTGGCCTATCGTCCTTGCTCTGCTCATGGCAGCACGGTTCTTCTCCATTGAAGTCCCCCAGTTTCAATGCCCTAACTCCTGCCCATCTTGCTAGCAAGCATCAACCTCCTTATCTGCTTCTTACAGCACAATTGTCCCCATTCTTCTACTACCCAATTCCATCCAAGCAAAACTTCAGCACGGTGCTGAAATTCTTTGACCCTGAGTCCTGGGGCTTGTCCAAGACTTAGAGAGAATTTGAAACACTTACCTGACATATGGACAGAGCTGGAAATGTGAGGCTTGCTGAATTGTCCTGAGGCCCCAAGTGGGGCTGCAAGGCAGCAAGTGAGTTTCCAGCCAGGTTTGCTAGAGCTGGATGAAGATCTGGGCCAATAAAACACCATAAGAAGGATGGAGAAGCCAGGGTGGGGGTGGATCAGCAGGCTTAGAAATGATCTTTCAGGAACATTCCAGTGTTGAGGTTACAACCCCTCTGATTTCACAGATGGGTACACTGAGACCCAGGCAGTCCAGGCAGTGAATCTTACCCAACCAGGTGCCATGTGCAACATGGTCCTTGGCCAGGCACAGCTTGGGTCATAATAACTCTGAATTTCCCTGGGGTCTGGGTGGTCCAGAAAGTTCTAAGGAGGACTCTGTTCTCCAGGTGAACCCCAAGAGGATGGTAGGCCTATTCCTCAGCTCAAGCCAGTCCCCTCTCCTAACTTCTCTGATTTCAGCCTTCACATATGGAGTCACCTGGGCTGGAAATCTCAGCTACACCCTTGCCTCTTTCTGTTTTAATCCCAGCATCTTTCAATGGATTCTTATCATTCCTAGGGTCAAGTCCAAGATCTTAAGATGAATTCACTGTTAAGATCAAGTTGAAATCTCTTGCTTACAAGGCCATTCACAACCCGTCTCCTACTTACTGCCTTGCTTTTTCTCTCACCACCTGCTCATCCATACTCTACTTGCCGGTCATAGAGAACTCCTTTTGTTTCCTCTGGGAGATGAAACATGCTGTTCTTTCTGCCTCTTTCTCAGGTCGCCGTGCCCTTCTTTTCCATTGCTTTCCAATAGCTACTCCTCTCTTAGAGATTGTTTTCTCTGTGCCCACTGAATGACTAAATATTCCTCTCTTCTAGTTTGGATGACTTATGATGTGTTTCTGTTCTTTTAAGGACTTGCCTTACAAATTAAAGCGTGCATATTTATTAAAGTCTACATTTATTAAAACCTCTAAGATAATAACATAAGGATCTTTGTTTACTCACTTCTGACATACATTATTTTTGTCTGGTATTTTAATTCCACATATATTTTAAGGCCCATTAGATACTACTATTTTATACAGTCAATGTCCTTTACATTTGCTCAAATATTTACCACTCTTTGTTTTTCATTCCTTTTTACATCTCAAATCTTCCATCTGCTATCATTTACTTTCTGCCCAAGTATTTTCTTTAAATTTTTATTTAGAGAGTGTCTTCTGGCAACAAACTTTGTTTTTACTTGTCTGAAAATGTCTTTTGTTTACCCTGTTCCTTAAAAGTTGTTTTGAGAATTCTAATTTGGCTATTTTCTCTTTAGCACTTAAAGATATCATTATACTCTCTTCTACCTTTTTATATTTCTGTCTAATTACTCTTCCTTCCAAGATAATAGTCCACCCTCACTTCCTCTTTGCCTGGCTGCTTTCAATATATGTTCTTTGTCTTCATTTCTTTTTTGTTTTGCAGTTTTATTATAATGCCTCTGTATGTAGATTTCTTTCTTTTTAAATTATTCTTCTTGGAATTCACTGGGCATCTTTTACCTTTGGACTGGCATCATGCTTCAGTTCTGGAAAAATCTAAGCCATTGTTCATCCTCCTTGACTGGGAATCAGACCTGCGATCCTTCAGTGCACTAACCACTGAGTATACTGGTCAAAGTTAAGCCATTGCCTCTTGAAAATGCCTCCTTGATTCCCTTCTCTCCACTGGGACTCCAATCAAATACATGCCTCTAGTGGTTTTCTCTTGAGAAGAGTCAATATTATATTTGCATGAAGATACCTCTAGGATTAAGAAATGACCCAGGATCTTGATCATGAGCCATCAGGAAATATCTGTTAAATAAATTTGAACATTGGGTTACATTTTAATCCAAGTCCAACTGATCATGAGATGTACCAGTCAAAAATAAACAGACACCAGAAAGATAGGTTTTATCTATTTTAATTGGAAAGTGTGGGATACATTTAGCCTAGTTTTATTGAAGCTTTGTAGATCAATAACAGCCCTCAGTTATAAACACTGAAAATGTATATTTATCACTCTTGATTGTCTATTTTCCTTCTTAGAAGTAGCCATCTTTTTCTGTATTTTACACCGTTGTCTGAGAAGCAACCTAAGGAGTCATGCAGGTGGTTCTTCTGAGGTTTTACTGGCTCTGGGCCATCATTACAAAAAGAAGATTCTGGAGACAGATTCCCGTCTCTGTGAACGCACTGCCTCTGGTGAAGAAGCCTTCCTGGCACTCCGGGTCCGCTCGCCACCCTAAGGTCTGGGTAGGTTGAAGGATTTGCCTGGGCTCCCAGGGCTGTTCTGAGATTCGCAGCTGAGGACTGAGACAAGGTTACTTCTTGGGATTCGAGGAGCTCCTATGGTGTAAAGAGGTAAAAGCCTTTACAAATGGCAGACCTTTTGCTAATTATTTTTCTTTTCTTTTCTGAGTACTTGCTGCTCACTAAATTGGAAATCTGGCAAAGTAGTGAAGTCTTTTTTGGACTTCCTATCTCTTCCTTAAGATTGTAGAGAAAATATAACTATTTAGGAAACCAAAACATTTATATTTTAAAAACAAACATCCCCTTCCTATCCCAGTTTTCTGGTAGGCACTGTTTTCTGCTTGATTCACCTGCAGGGTTGTTCAGTTGTTAGAGTTTTAAAATGTTGCAGCTTTTCTCTCTGTATTAGCTGGAGGCTCGGTTGTGCTTGGAGTACATCAGTTATGTTGCTTCTAACCCACTTCTTTTTTTAAATAGGGGTTGAAACAGTAAATACAGTCAACAGATTTAAAAAGAAATCTGGTCATTCTTCTGTGTGCACAAGAGGTATTGGATTTAGCATTGACTCACAAGCTGCCAAGACCAGCAATTGTGCACCATCTCCTCGCAACATGGAAAAAGAAAACAAAGCTGGGGCAGCCAGGTACGCACTGGGTGCAGCCTGGGCCTTGCCCCACGCCAGGTGCTCCCACGCTCTGCTCTGTAAGGCCACCTTGTTAGACTGAGAGAGGCTTCAAACAGAAGCCTCATTTGGTGTCCATTGCTTCTAGTGCAAGGCATTGTACATGTCACTAACCACTCACTTTGTACAACGGTATTGAATTGGAAGTGTTTTAAAGTGAACGTGTACATCCACAACTTGGCTGGAGCACTTGTGTGGATGAGGAGAGGTGAAGGTGAAGTGCACTTTTCACACCAAAGTGGAGAGGAAGTTCTTGTCCCTGACCCTCTAATCCAGTGGTTCTCAACCTTCTGGCCCTTTAAATATAGTTCCTTATGTTGTGACCTAACCATAAAATTATTCTCGTTGCTACTTCATAACTGTAATGTTGCTACTGTTATGAATCATAATGTAAATATCTGATATGCAGGATGATCTTAGGTGACCCCTGTGAAAGGGTCATTTGACTGCCAAAGGGGTCGCGACCCACAGGTTGAGAACCGCTGCGAATCTAATCCAAAGCTTCCCAAATATGCTCTCTACTTCTTGCCACTTAGTGGCCCACTTGTATATTGTGCTGAGAATATGGGAAAAGGGTTAAGGCAGGACACTGAGATCAAAGCTGCCCATAAACTGTTTAGATAAAACTAATCCCTAAATTGTGAAAAAGGCAATTTCTGAATTAACATTTTTATCATTTTAAATGTGCATATTAAATGTACTTGCTAAATGTTATGTAGAAATATTTGACTATTTTATCTATATTCTAAAAGTTTACATATTCAAGTTGTCAAGAACAAAACATAAAACCTTTTTGTGGGGGGTAGGGGGGCATTCTTATTGGAAAAATTGACACTCACTTTATAGTTGAACATATTCTCCTTATAACTTATAATGATTTCCATTAAAACACACCTAATTCAGTTTGGGTGAATTAATTGATATGTATAATGTTAACTGTATTTTTCTTTTCCCCCAGGAATGAAAAAGCTGTGAGCTGCTTATACCCAAAGCCTAATGCAGTTTGTAGGCTGATCTGCTTTCCCTGGGCAGGAAGTGGCTCCCTTTATTTTGCCAAATGGGGCGAAAAGATGAATGACTCACTGGAAGGTACGTTAACTTTCAACACCATCCAGGCAATTTATATGGTCAGATGGCCAACACCTATAGGAATTCGAAGCACAGTAACGATTTTCCATATTGGGAGACACACAATAAGTTATTCAAGATTACATTCTAATAACATAAATTTTATATTTCTAAAGTAAGAAATTCTGTTACCTTTATTTTGTTATTATTGGAGCTAGAAGGACTTTTTAGGAAATGGTATTCTAGCCTTGCACTTGTTTTTAATGTAATTATTGATATGGTAAAATGGAATCTACTATCTTACAGTTGTTTTCAATTTGTTCTGTCTGTGAGTTATTCCATTTTCTGTTTTGTCTTTTTCTTTTGAATGAACGTAATATTAAAACATCATTTTTCTTTGTACTTCCTCTATTGCCTTATAAGCCATATTTCTCTTTTTAGTGGTTGTTATAGAATTTACAATAGACATCTTTCACTTACCAATGTCTATCTTCAAAAAGCATTATTCTTGGTTAAACTTATTCCTAAGCATTTTATTGTTTTTGATGCTATTGTAAATGGAATTGTTTTCTTAATATCTTTTTTGGATGTACATTGTTGGTCTACAGAAATGCAACTGATTTGTATGTTAATTTTGTATCCTGCAACTTCACTAAATTTGTTGATTAGTTCTAACCATTTGTTGATTAGTTCTAACCATTTTTTGGTGGAGTCTTTCTATATAAAGTCATGTCATCTGCAAACAAAAACTTTTTTACTTCTTTCTTTCATTTCTTTATTCTTCCTAATTGCTCTGGCTAGGACTCCAGTATTATGTTGAATAGAAGTCTTGAGAGCAGGCATTCTTGTCTTAATCCTGATCTTAAAGGAAGAGTTTTCAGCTTTTCACCATTGAGTTTTATGCTACCTGTGGCCTTGTCATATATGACCTTTGTTATGTTGAAGTACATTTCTTCTAGGTATATCTCATTTGCTGAGAGTCTTTATCATGAAAGGAAGTCACATTCTTTTTATTCACCTATTGAGGTGACCGTATGAATTTTATCCTTTATTCTGCTAATGCAGTGGTTCTCAACCTTGGCTGCACATCAGAATCACCTGGGAATCTTTTTAAAATCCTGATTTCTGGGGCTCATCCTCCGGAAATTCTGTTTCTTAGTTACTAATGTTGTGGCCCCACCCCATAACAAAGAAACAGAATTTCTGGAGGATGAGGCCCAGAAATCAGGATTTTAAAAAGATTCCCAGGTGATTCTAATGTGCAGCCAAGGTTGAGAACCACTGTGCTAATGTGATGTATGAAATTTACTGATTTGTGTATGTGTAACTATCATTGCACCGCAGAGATAAACCCACCTTGGTCTGGTGTATGGGTAGTTCAAAAAGCAGTTTCAAACAGCAGTTTTTCCAAAGGAGGGACCACTATGCTTCAGTTATACTACTTGATTCTATCCAACAGCACACTGCTGTTTTATTTCATGTAACATATAAAAACTTTAAAACTGCATGCTTCCATTTCCCCTCCTGTCCTTTTGCTATTGTTGTCATACGTTTTATACTTCTACAGTAAATTTTTACTATTTTTGCTTTGAATAATTATAATTTTTAAATGTTTAAATGAGAAAAATAGCTTTTATATTTGCCCACATTTTTATAGTTTTTAGCATTTTCTTTCTGTATTGTCTGAATTTCTATCTAGAATAATTTTCCTTCAGCTTGAAGGAAATATTTTTGTAGTGCATATTGGCTGGCAACAAATTTTCTAAGGAGACTGCAATTTTCTGTATTTTTGCCTTGACTTCTGAAAACTATAATCTGGATATAAAATTCTAGGTTGGCATTTTTTCCTTTATCATTCTAAAAATGACACAACATTATTCTCTGACCTGTGTTGTTTTCTATGAGAAGTCAGCAATACTTATTATATTTATATGCAATTGTCTTCTTTTCTGTAGCTGATTTTAAGACTGTCTCTTTACTAATTTTAAGAAAAAGGTTATCATGTGCCTTGTTGAGTTTTTGGGGGGATCTGTGGATTTACAATTATTATTAAATTTGGAAAATGTTCCAAGCATTGTATCTTTGAAAATTATTTTCTACATCTTTCCTTTCTCAATTTGTTGAAAAGTAAATATCAGTATATGTTATGTTGTATCACAAATCAGCGAGCTGGACAAGATGCCTAATGAGCCAACTAGTCATGAGTCATCTTTATTGCACGCAGGTTCAGAGCAGATTACCTCTGTCAAATTCTGAACAAACACAAGAGGGAGTATTTCCTTTTTATATCCTTCTAGTTCTTTGTGTAAGACAGCTTGTAACCTTGAATACGTATCCTATCTAATCAAACACCTATAATATCTATACAGACAACTTATAATTTTGAGTACATATTATATCTAATCAAACACCTGTAACCTTGGATGAACAAACATTTGGCAGAATATGTGAATTAATATAGTGTATCAGCCCCTTTAGATGGCTAGCTTGCAAGGTCAGACAATTAAGTTTATCTTTTCTATTCAAGCAAAAAACAAAGTTATTTTACACTCTAAAAATAACAGAGTTGACCTACAGAATAAGAGACCAAGAATAACAGAGTAGTTCAAACAGCAGTTTTTCCAAAGGAGGGACCACTATGTCTCAGTTACACTACTTGATTCTATCCAACAGCATACTGGAGTGCTTCATTTTTTTAAATCCCCACCCAAGGATATGTTTATTAATTTGCCAGAAAGAGAGAAAGAGAAAGAGAGGAAGAGTGAGAAAGAGAGACAGGTGAGAGAGAAACATCAACTGGTTGCCTCCCAGACCCATTCCTAGCAGGGATTGAACCTGCAACCTAGGTATGGGCCCTAACCAAGAATCAAACCCTCAACAATTTGGTGTATGGGATGATGCTCCAATCAACTGAGCCACCTCGCTAGGGTGAATTCTGTTCATTTTTTAAAGCCACTTTTCTCTGTGCTTCAGTTTGAATCTATTGTCCTGTCCTTCCTAAGATCTTTCTTGTTGGTGGGTTGTAACCTTGAATTTTTTTTCTCACAGTATTGTGAAACTCAAACACCATTCTTTTTTTCAATAATTTTATGTTTTATTTTCTTAATCTCTTAATATGCTAACTTAAGAATAAACCAAATGCTTTAAGGAAGAAGCACTGTACTTCTTGTCTCTCTGAGATCATGGGCTCCTAAATTCTAGCTGCTTTTACAGTACTGTATTTCCATTTTTGTCTCTCTAGCTCAGTGGGAATGCAGAAAGCTCTGCTGGTATCTCGGTCTCTTAGAGGTAGCCCTCAGCTTGGAGTACAGAACTCTTGACCTGTGCCAAATAATTGACATATTTCCATAATGGAAAAGAGGCTGGAAGAATCTCAGTTCACTTTTCTAGAATCCTCTTCTCTCCAGGCAAGCTCTGATTGCCTCAGCAGCTTACAGATGCTTTCAAATAGTGAGTGAGTGTGAGTGTGTGTGTGTGTGTGTGTGTGTGTGTGTGTGTGTGTGTGATTCCATTTTCTATTTGTTTAATCAGAGCATTGGCCTGAGGTGAGCTACTTCTGAATAACCAAAAGTGAAAAGCTGGTATATAAAGTAATATAACAAACCATAGTGTATCAACTACCTGCCTTTCAATATTATCTTCTTTTTAATCCTCACCTGAGGATGTCTTTATTGATTTTAGAGAGGAAGTGAGAGAGAAACATCAGTTGTTTTCCTCCTGTACACACCCCAACCAGGGATTGAACCTCCAACTTTCTTGCTGTACAGGTCAATGCTCCAACCAACTGAGCCACCTAGCCAGAGCTCAATATTACTATTTCAATATTATTTGCTTTAAATTCTTTTGCTCCTGATTAAATAAGGTCTCTATTTAATTTTTATTGTAAATACAATTATTTATTTTTTATGTTTTCTCCATTTACTTTTTTCAATTATAGTTGACATTCACTATTATTTTATATTAGTGACAGGTGCACAACATAGTGGTTAGGCAATTACATCCTTTAGGAAGTGCTCCCCCTAGTTATTCTAGGACCCAGTTGGCATCATGTATAGTTATTACAACACCACAGGCCCAGTGCACGAAATTCGTGCACGGGGGTAGGTCCCCTCAGCCCAGCCTTACCCTCTCCAATCCGGGACCCCTTGGCGGATGTCCGACTGCCAGTTTAGGCCTGATCCTGGGGATTTTAATAAATTTCCTATTTTTACTGGGATCAATTTGGTAAATTGTATTTTTAAAGATACACAAATTACATGTAAATTTCCATGCAGTCAGACATCCCTCTTACAATCCTGGACCACTGGCTCCTAATTGCTCACCTGCCTACCTGCCTGGTCACCCCTAGCTGCCCCCTCCCCCATGCCCACCTGATTGCCCCTAACTGCCTCTGCATGCCAGCCTGATCGCTTCTAACTGCCCCTCTACTGGCGTGGTCGCCCCTAACTGCCCCCCACTGCAACCAGGTTGCCCCCAATTGCCTCCTCCCTGCCAGCCTGATCGCTCCTAACTGCCCCCCCCCCCCCCGGCCAGCCTGGTCACCTCCAACTGCCCGCCTCTATTGGCCTGGTTGCCCCTAACTGCCCCCGCTGCCGGCCTGGTTGCCCCCAACTGCCCCTCCCCCACTGGTCTAGTTGCCCCTCACTAACCCCCCTTGCCAGCCTAATCACCCCCAACTGCCCCACCCCACCAGCCTGGTCACCTCTTACTCCCCCCCCCCCCCCCGCCTGCGCCTGCCTGGTCACCCCTAACTGCCCTCCCTGCTAACCTGGTTGCCCCCAACTGCCCCACCTGCCAGCCTGGTCGCCCCTCACGGCCCCCCCCCCCCAGCCTGGTCACCCCACGCAGCCTGCTGTTCAGTTGTTTGGTTGTCCCTCACTAACCCCCCTGCTGGCCTAGTTGTAGGCAGTCATCTTGTGAGGGCATGAGGGTTAATTCACATATTACCTCTCTATTATATAGGATTACTGACTATATTCCCTATGGTGAACATTACACCTCTGTGACTATTTTATGAATAC